AAGCCTTAATTCGGATATGATTCGGTGCAGTTCTTTCGCAACATTTTTACGGGTCTGTCAAAAATAGTAAAGTGGTTGCTGATATATTCCATAATCGTGATGCCCCCCCTCTTCTAGATAATGTAGAAACGTATTTACCAATCAGCATTTATCCCCGAATTATTAGCGGAGTCTTGCATTTGTAGACCCAGTTTCTGCCCGAAATGAAGCCTGTTTTTCTTTGATCGTCCGTGGCACACGTATACTGCCCCCCTTTCCTGGAGGGATTTTCAGGCCTCTTCTTTTATGTTCTGCCGAGTGTATTTCTGTGAATGGTTTTGGTTACTGCATGTTTCGTCTAGATAGAGAATTCTAAGGTTATGAGCTGTCCTAAAGAACTGCTGTAGTGTCTGAATCCAGTACTTTATTTTATACATTCATAATGCGGAACCACTATATTTTGTTTTGCCTCGCAATTCAGTAGCAAGTTTCTTTGCAGCGAACATTTTCCCTCATAGTGAAGTTGAAAATAGTTCTGCGTAGAATATTTTCCGCAAGTCGTGTAAGTTTGTTACACACTTCTGCATATGCTTCTTTCAAGGAAATCTAAATAGTGGACGTCTTTCTGTCGGACCGATGCAGTGCATTGAAATGAAACAAAAGACGCTGCAACCGATGGCACGGCGGTAGTTCACTGCGAAACTGTAGGAGGAACGACGAAGGGGTCTTTTCTCCTCTCATCACTGACTCTCTGTACTTAAACAGTACTTCATTGCCTACTACATTAAAGAATCGACACAGATGTACCATAATTTACAAGAACTGCATTTTAATCCCCCCCCCCGCAAAAAAATTGTAACAAAGAAGTTCAGCAAGATATTTTGAAGCTCTGAAGCGAATAATTCGCCTCCCACTTTCAGCACAGCACCGTACACCACCCGCTTAACAGGCTTCGATACACCCGACTTCTCGGGAACTCTTTCATGCAGGTTACGTCATCAGTATGCTGTCTTTATGACGACGGTTTGGACTGCGAAATCTCGCACAGAATCACACACCACTTTGCAAGGGTAACAAGATCTGAGCCAGCAGAACATTCACACTGCTGTGCTGTCCACACTGAGTTTGTTGACTGCGAATTAGCGAGTCATTGTTATAACTATACTGTACGTTCTCGTCATTGTCCTTTCACTTAATCATATTATTGTGGTTTGTTTAAAAAACTGTCGTTAACTAGACTGTATAGTGTCTAATGGTAGAATGGCTGCTGCATGATGTATTGGAAGGGATTCAGAAGGGAAGCGGCCATGCCCCTGATCGAGACTTCAGGTACTGGTGAGAACAACGCAAAATTCAGTGGCGCTAGCCGGTATCCCGGTCCGGCGAAATCAGTATGGGGCACCTCCCGAATAGAATTGTAGAGCTTTACCGCTACAGCAGCCTGCTCAGTGTTATCCTTTTGGCCCTGCCAGTATGCGTAAAATAGGAATATGGAGCGAAGAAAGCAGAAGAGGCGTCACTTCCAGCAGTTCTATAAGTTTGTCGCCACTGTACAGTAATCAGTAATGACGTTCTGTTTACGTGGTCAAGGACGATGACGCCCCCCCACCCCCCACCACCACCAAAGGTCACGCAGTAAAGTAGTGCCGTGTTGGCGTCGCAGCATGTTTTCTTTTCATTTGTGCGTGCTGTACTTTAGCCTCTGCACAGATCCACGGCTATGTACTCGTGCAGTGTTCTTACACAAGCACGAGTACAATAGTCTGTTTGCTGTGCCGTCGAGAAATCGTTTTCTGTTGCCGTTTCCTTAAGGTAAACGCGCGAACTTCCAAAATAATGCTTTTACTTTGTCTGCACAAAACCTCAACTTAGTTTTAAGAGTATTGCCTCATCACCAGTGCTGGAATTTTCAGGTAACATTGCCGAATATTACTGTCAATAAGTAATAATGAAACAGCAGTACTTACCTACCTACCAACCAACCACTCGGCGCTACAGCCCTGGGTGAGCCTTGGCCTCCTCTACAACCAGTCTCCACAACCAGTGCGTGCTGCCATAGGAATGGACCCACGCATGATGACCCGAGGCTGGTTGTTGGGTTTCTGAAGAAAATTCGTTTACAGGATGAGGTTGTTAGCCTCATGCCCAACCCCCAACCTGGAGGCCTAGGGTATCTCTCTTAGTCTTGACTCTACCCTTTGACCTTTCCGGCATGGGTGACCCTACTAGTAAACTACCGGCGGCAAGCCCCACCACCACGACAGGGTGGAGACACCTTTGGGGGGGGAGGGCATAGCAGCACACACTCTTGCTGTTAAATGCATGACTTGGATTCCAACGCAGTGATGGAAGCACAGCACCCTTCAACTTACCGGAGTCACAGCTGCAGAGAAATCCCCATCTGCAGTTGATTGCCTGAAATATGTCTGTAGTAAGAAGGGTCTGTATGTTTTTGGGATGACAATGATAATTTGGGACCCAGTTGTCATATAAATAAGAGGCCTGGAGTGACATCGGGAACTGAAGCTCCATTTGCCGATGCCCCTCTCAAATTGTTTAGTGCAAGAGATAACGGGACATTCACCCAGCCACAGCAGTTGGCTATAGTCGGTGGCACACCCCAAATGCTTTTCTGTTTTTGTTCATTTTCATAAAATTATGTCAGTTTCCACAATTATTACGATGTACTTCCACGAAAATCTTCTCTATATTTTGTTAATTCTGTTGTTACAGCTTTCATTGATCATGACCTGTAGAACTCCTAGCATTTTCCAAGCTCCAACTCTAATGACCGTTTTCTGTTTCCGATAAGTCGTTCCAAAGAATCGGTCCGAGATCCATGTTTTATGTAACGTTTCGTAATATTCAGTTTTTATACGATGAGTCCCCGCCCAAGCCCGAAGTCCCTTGTCGGCTCTCCGCTGTTTATTCAGTATATTCGCATCAGTCTTCCATATGTAGAGGCCGCCTCCTACGTGTGCAACCTTAAGACACACGGCAGTGGCAATCTGAGGACCGGCTCTTGTCTCACCCATACTACGCATGTGCAGGCTCATAAGTGTTTCAGCGGATAGATATGTAACTTGTTAAATTCGAGAGGAGCTACAAATGTTACCTTGTTATAAATCCCGGCGTACCAACCATACTGTGCGAAGGGTAAGAATGTGATTAAGAGAACACGCTGCGTGAAGGTGAAGGAGACTTAGTACGTCAGAGTTACGCAACTCACAGTGTACGGAAGCCGCTCAAGGTCCCATGACGTCAGCCATTATTCAAATACCGACGGCTCTTCTTGTCAGTCAAGTATGTAGGCTACATACAAACATGTGCTGTCGAAGAGATGTCGTCATTTTATCGCTGCGTTGAAAGAGTTCATACGTTTACATGTACGCCGGCCAGAGGAGAGATGTCGTCACTTTGTTGCTGTGTCGAAACAGTCATTACGATTACATGTACGCCGGGCTGAGTTCATTGAAGCCACTGTCTCAACAGAATAACATTAATCATTTCTAGTACTATTAGCCCGCCAACGAACGTAATTCTGATCCCCAACCACCGTTCATCGTCACAGATAGTTTCCGTAAGAGTCATCATTTTGTCCCTCGGTGTTCTGTTTTCAGGATGTTTCCTCACCACAATTCTCGAGATATTTCGTGCCACTGTCATGCGCAGTCACTCGTAGTTGCCTTGATATCGCTCTCGTGATAGTACTGTGTAACCTGTGTAGAAGATGAAATTTCTCCGTCTGTGATGTCCTGCATTATCCACTTCTTACCTCGCGTGTCAGAATATTTTCCTAGGCTCTTTGTTTTCACTCTTCCGTTCATATTCTTTACTGGAAGCAGGGACTATGCTCACAGCCACTGAAAGAGGTCAAGAAAAAGTGAATCTACGTATATCCACTCCCCTGTACGCCTTAGTTAAGCACAGGGACAACTTTACCATATATTGAGATGGCTAGTGGCAAAGCAGCGACAAGCTTCTTGGCGTCCTTCCTTCTGCACAGTTCAGAATATGTCTTAGAGAATATGCACTATCATTTCCCTGATATTACTATAAATTAACAATTGCGGTTGATGAAAACACGACGAACAGTTTTTTGAATAAGGCTTCGGCTACACAGGATTTTCAGCTTTCGAAATTGGCTGTCTTTCACAAAATGATCGCCCACCACTGCTTTACATGTGAATTAAAGTTGCTGCAAAAGTCAGCCGATGATGTTCTCCAGACTGGGAAAGTGTTTTTTAGACTGATATGTTTCTTGACGATGTAGGTATTACAGAAAGAGTGGTCCAGTGTCGGCGATGTATCACGTTCGCGGTCTTACGAAGCAGCAGCAGCAGCAGCAGCAGCAGAACGGCCACTGTGAAAATCAGCGGTTTCGATCAAGAAATAAAGAGAAGTGACGTTTCATGCCATATTTATGTCTTTGTTTCAGGTGCAATGAAGTTGACTGTAGGTTTACCAATCCCTCGAGTTAATCGGAAGGTGATGAAGGGACTGGCCACTAAGCGAACAGCTGTTGGCCAGCATCGACTCATACCCGGTGAGAGAATTGTGTTTGCTGTAGCAGCTAGCCTTGGATGAATGAACAGTTGACTGTGAAAATAATTCACCCATTAGGTTGTATTAACGCAATGACTGGTATGTATACTTTGCTAATAGGCCCGTGTGCTCGTTCCTACTTCAACTTTGATTTTTTTGTTAAAGTATGAGCAGTGATGAGTGATGGCGCGGTTATATCACGAACTAAGGATTTCACGGTCTAGGTTCGATTCCTAGTAAGGTCTTCGGGATTTCTTTTCTTCACAGCTTTGTAGAGACCGCCTCTCAGCTCACTTTATCAGACTGATATCGGGAAGTTTGTCTCCCGAGGTAAAACGACGGGAGCGCAAAGCGGACCACTTGCTTCCTTTTAGATACAAGGTTAATAGTGTGAGGAACAGTGAACAGAGTCTCAGGCTAATTGCTGGGGGTTCTGTCCCTTCCAGTCTCATCCGGATCGGCCCTGGGACCTTTCTGTCCTCCTGTCTGATGGTTATCGGGCGATCTTTCCTTGAGGTAAAGTGCCGGATTTACAGAGTGCTTGTATTTATTTATTATATATTATTGATTCATTTGAGAACGCTTGCAGTCGCTGACATCATGTAGCGTCGACTGATAAGGTGTTGGTGGATAATAAATACTCGTAGAGAGTGATGTGGCAGGAAGCTGTAGTGACTTTTTCCTCCAGGGACTGAGGAAAACGACGGAAATCCCAGCCAAATTAGCTAGTTTTTGGGTCGAGATTTGAATTTTGACCACCAGATTACGAAGCATAAGTAGTGTTCACTTGACCGCAGTGTTCGGTTTGAATAACATGGCCAGACACTGTATGTAAAAAAAGAACAGTATATTTTTGCACAGTTTCGAAAGAAAATTCATCTACAAGTACTGATCCTACTGGACTCTTCCGACCGAAGAGTTAAGATCAGAATTGGTCCTTCCACGTTTTCTGTGGTCTGTCTCTTCTCCTTCCCGCCTCTCTGGTCTAGTTGTCAGAGTTCCTGGCTACAGATCCAGAGGTCTCGGGTTCGATTCCCGGCACTACTAGATTTTCTGAGAATTGGTGGGTCTGGAACGGCGTCCATTCAACCTCGTGAGGATAATTGAGGAGCTATTTGAAGGAAATAGGGGCTCCGGTCTAGAAAAGCAATATTAACAGCCCTGGGGATCTCGTTGCTCTGACCACGTGACACCGTCTCTCCGCTAAAAGTTGGCACTAACTTCGCCGACAAGCGGCGGTCTCTCGGTCGGTATATTTCGCTTGCGGACTACAGGCAACGGAGTTTTTTTTACCTCCTGGTCTATAGTGGTGAAAGTTTATAAGGCGTAGAGGGAGAAGTGTGTTGGTCAGATGCTGCTCTGAAGATGTTACGCCTGTGGCCATGACTAGTGAGTTGATTAGCAATGTAGTTGTGATGATGACTGAGGTTAATCCAGCTGTCCGTTCAGTCTTCCACTTCAGCTAACAGGGAGAGGTGCAGTGCTGCAGAAATAACTCGCTCATTTGCTGCAATTCGACTTTGTCATGTTTTCAGAGTTCCCACCTTTGCACATTGTTTCATTCTAATCAAGGGGCTATAAATTATTACATTGTATTAACCTTCTAGTCTGTTTTACTATTGGCGGAAGTGGGAGCATGGCAGTTACCGCAAGCAGTCCAAGCACACAATTCAGTATGGGAAATGTTTTCAGGCAGTAAAGGAAAAGCTGGGGGCACGCGGTAGTGTAGTTGGTTGAGGCACAATGCTACAAGCCGGAAGGTCGTGGGGTCGGATCCCAATGAGGTAATTTTTTTTCAATTTACGTAATCCTTCCAGCCGTACTGTGGCCCTGGGGTCGACTGAGCCTCTAACAGAAATGAGTACAAAAAATATTCTTGGAATGTTCTTGGGAGTGAAGGGCGGCCCGTGCGTAAGGCTGACAACCTTACCGCCATCTATGAGCCTATTGTCTAGAAAATGTGGGAACCTCAACATCTCACAACCGTATGGGCCTCAACGGCCTGTTACAGGGATACCTTTACTTTACTTTATCTTACTTAAAGGTAAAGCTGTCCCTGTAACAGTCCGTGGAGCCCCATAGGGTTGTGAGACTTCGAGACTCTCACATTTTATAGGCAATCGGCTCACAGATGGCGGTGAGGTCAGTCTTACGCGCCGGCCGCCCTTTGCCCCCAGGAAGATTCCTGGTACTCATTTCTGTTAGAGGCTGAGTCGACCCCAGGGCCGTAGTGCAACAGTCGTTACGAACCTCTTTTCAACTGCCTTAACTCTGGCTTGTGGTGTTTAATTAGGGTCCGGCAGTGTGATCCGTGTAGCACTGTGGGTACAGTTGTTACGCTATAGAACTATAAGACGGTCTTTCTTTTGTGCTGTGCAGATATTGGCAGTTGCATAATGAAGTGTTCCAGTAATTAAGTCAGCTGAGAATTGTTTTGTGTCGTAGGTATTTTAAACGCACTGACTTGTTCAGTTGGTTAGTCATTCAGTTCAATTGTGACTGTTCCTGGTGATTTACCTCAGAATGCTAGTTAGGAAGATAAGATAGTCCCTTTATCTTTGCAGTTTGTATGAAAGAAAACACACAACAAAGGAGAGTTAAAATTAAGGTATAACTTGAGCGTTACACAGAATATGCATTTTTCCCTACACGAGATATATTAACGCATGGTTAATATTAACAGAACCGGGGACTGCTTTTACCTTTTGTGACAATTTACGACTATTGTTTACCTTTGTCAGTCATGACATACCAGTATGGTGATCTAAAGGCGCGGGAATAGTCATGAAACAGCACCAGTATTATTTACGCTAGTACCGGTCTTGCACTGTTGCAGTAAATACGTAAGAACTACTATATACGCTCGTCCATAGGTGACGGCTGAATACTGAGTCTAGGGAGTAGCCGTTACACCAACCTGCTCGGTAAGCTCAAGGAACAGATATACCTTAGGACAGTTGGTCTTAGCGCTGAGGTACGAACCCTGGTACGAAGCAGAAGTGTTAACTATTCCTTGCGACGTCCGGTGACGCCTGTGAAGTTTGCGGCTTTGTGTTAATTTGGAAGATACGTCATGCAGGTTGGTTCATCCTTGAGGTTTACTCTGTTAATTTAGAAGCATCTGAGGATTACTTCATACCTTACATAATTGTGGAGGCGTTTGCCTAGTTTATGTATCGGACCCTAATAAGCCGCGCGAGGAGCACTCTCCGTGATGGAATTAGATACGACCTCGGTTTTCCATTCTGTGATATGCAATATCCTAACAGTGACGTTAAGTATGCAGTTTTCAGCTCATTAAATTTAATACTTAAGGACTTAGGTAAAATGCATAAGTCGTAAATTGTAGCGTACATGTGACAGTCGACCACGACCTTCTTTAATCCGTTCGATGTCAGCTCCGTTTCTTGCTGTGATTCGGGTGTGAACGTAGTATAAAATGACATGTATTTACCTCGTGAAAATAGTATGAAAAATTAAAAATGCGAAAGATGGCATGGCAGGGAGGAAGACTTATCAATGGAAAGTTCACTCCATCCGGATTATACTTTTTGGTGGGGATTAGGGTGCAAAATAAACGCCCAGGTAAGTAACCCCAAATTTGTATTTAACCCATTTTGTGCTCTGGTGTATGAATTGTGTCGAAATTTTATGTCAGAGAACCACGCGAATTTCTGTCGGCCACAGCACACCGCCAGTCTACGTAAAGATCCAGGCGAAATAAAAACCTTGAGAAATGCGTCCGTTGCTGTGGGGAACGTTACAACTGCTTAGCCTTGGGTATGTTCAGAATATAAACTATGCACTATAAACCATAAAAGTGGCTGAAGATTTATTACATATGGCCACCCTATCCCATTCCACTGCATCTGTCCACAGTGCAGTTTATAACTTTATACATGAAAGTTTGTGCAAACCAGCCTTCCTTCCCACATTATTAGTGATGTATGTTTTGGGTATGACAGAACGTAGGAAGCGTAAAGGTAAAAATATGAGAACATGGATGACAGTAAACAATAATAATAATAATATACTGCATATAGTATATATGCGGGGGCACGCGGTAGCGTAGTTGGTTGAGGCACTATGCTGCAAGCCGGAAGGCCACGGGTTCAAGTCTCGAAGAGGTCATTGGGATTTTTTCAATTGACCTAATCCTTCCAGCCGCACTATGGCCCTGGGGTCTACTCAGCCTCTAACATAAATGAGTACCAAGAATATTTTTGGAATTTTCTTGGAGGTAAAGGGCGGCCGGCGCGTAGGGCTGACAACCTTGCCGCTATCTACCAGCCGATTGTCTAGAAAATGTGGGAACCTCAACATCTCAGAACCCTATGGGCCTCCACGGCCTGTTACAGGGATACCTTTACTTTACTTTACTTTACTTACTTTTTTACTCTGCAATATATATGCATTTATTGGTAACTGTGGCATAATAATATTGTGGTGGAATCAGAATTCGCAGAAAAGTAGTATTGAAGCGGATGAGGAATGACCGAGGCAGAGGGTCTCCGCCGAATAGGCTTGACGATGGTTATTTGTTTTGCAGATTTTTGCATTTCTCCTGAATTTGAAGGAAGGGGCGTGCGTGATACAGCCTCAATCTTCCTCGTAAATTTGAGGCTTCTCTCTATTATAAGATTGCATTCCACCGTTTTGCCTACCTACGCTCACTGAATTTTAATTGTTTCAGCCAGAACTTGGAGGCTGGAAGTAAATATTGCAGCCACTTTCTGCTCCTCATTGTTCTCATTGATGAGCTCGTCAAGGTCCTCATCAGTTTCTTAGCACAAGTAATTGGGATACTCTGAGGAATGGTCTTCTGGGTTGGGTTTTCAATCCACAAATTATGTACTGTTTTCCATTTGTTGTTTTATTTTGTCTCGCACTTTTGACACAGTGTTTGCGCTGACTCGAGCAGTACCTGCAGCACTATCCCTGACTGCCTTTTTATGTTTCCTCGACTTTGTTGTAGATTAGTGTGTTCCAAACTTTCTGCCA